CTACTGCTACTATTACTACTACTACCACTACTACTACTACTACTACTACTACTATGACTACTTACTAGGATCACACATTTTACTGCTAATATTTTCTGCGTGTATTGTTTCCATGGTTACAAGTTCCGACTGACGGTTGTATTACTGCTGTTACTCCTTGTGGTTTCAACCGCTACTGCAGCCCCTGTGACTGTTTCGAGATTGCTGCTAGCGTTGTTTCCCACAGTATTATTTGGTCTATTCTGCTAAGCTTGGCGATGATGTTAAGGATAGCAGAACTGTCAGAAGAAAAGTCATACTCATAAGGAAGGTGATCAGAATGGTCATATTCATAGAGATATCCTCAAAATTTTAATATTCCTTATAAGATAAGTCGAATAACAATAGTGGTGAGAATTGTGCAAATAGACAAGATCAATCGCAACAACCAGTATAACACAACAAACGCTGTACGGTATTTTTCATGGTTCTCAATGATCTTGATAGCCATTACAATCGTCCTCATTTTGCTGTTGCTATTCTTTTATGATGACTATTTTTTCATTGCCAGTTGACCGTTCTTGTAAGGCGGCTTTCTCAGCATTATTACTGTTGATACCATGTTTGGAGCTCATTTTTATTTCTATCTATGAAAGTAGTACTTCTCCTCGTGTTATCACAACTGTTCTGATTACGTTTATTTACAACAAGTCTCAGTTATTCTTTCTGCTTCCTTTATCGCTCTGGTGTATTGAGCTCTCGCAGGAGCATTCTACTAGATTGAGCTTCCGCTTGGAGCATTTTCATTTTGACACCAAATTGAGCTCCCGCATAGACCGTACTCAAATTTCGACTCAAAATTCAGCTCTCGCGTGGAGCATCCTCACATTTCGTTCTACACAATGCCCAGGACCCTGGAAAAAACAAAAACCTTGAAACAATGATACCTAAGTGATTTTTCAGCCTATTGTCCTGCCATGCGCTTCGATCTGGCGAGATGGATCTTCCAGCGTGCTTGTGCATGCCTGACGCCTGGCGCCGCTGAGAGCTTTATGATAATTCGTAGTGCTATGTGAATCGGTGTGCTCGGTGAGCTCTCGCCCAAGCATTGAAAGATTTGAGCAGTTCCCTCTGAGCCTGGAGTTGTCTGCTCGCAAGTGTAGGTGCTCGTGTAAGTGCTACCATTGGGCGGCAATGGTCCATGGTGCTGCCTGTTCAGTTGTTTCATGATGTTTCATGCACGCGACGCACACTACGGATGCCTTGAGCGGCAGCCCGAGGCAGTGCAAAGACGATCATCGCGTTTCCTGATGCAGAGTGCAAAAACAGTCTTGTCCGATGCAACTGCAATGGTGTTTTGTTCCTGCCGAAGACTTGAAAAGAACTGGGCAGATGTTCATCGTGAGGCCAGCAGCGGCCGGGGCTTTCTTGGTCCCAAGACCGTTGCCGATGAACGCACTGCTGAAGCCTCAGTGCTTTGCTGCCCAACTGAGCAGAGAATTTTCAGCGGTGAAAATGGGCAGCGCATTTACTACACATCCACGGGAGCATCTCAGAGCATCTCAGAGCCTTCTGTACCCAGAACTGTGACCCGAAGGTTTCTTTGCTGCCGCTAAAGAGCGTGAGCTATTTTTCATGAAAATTTTGTATTCTTATGGACCGGAAAGAATTGGAGGAAGCTGGAGTTACTGCGACAAAACAAGGACAGCAACCAGGAAACATGAAGCTTCCAGGCCAAGGGGCGTAGAGGGCGTGGGAGAAGGGAATCTTGGGGAAGACAACCATTATGGCTAAGAACGAGGCACTCCTGAATCACCTCATGATGCCACGAGGCGCCTTTTGTGTGATAGGATGATGTTTGCATCAGCTGACGACCAAAGAGATTCCCAACGCGCTCGAAGAGATGGAGTGGGCTTCTTTTGTTCGTGCACGAAGACTTGCCAGTGCAGGCAAAAGCCTGCGCGCCAGGCAGATGCACGATGCGCAGCGTGGAGTGATGGGATTGCAGCTGGTGGGCAGGAAGAGAACTGGAGCGATGTTTGACAAGCGGTCTGAGAAGAAGATGTGGCATTGATTACAAGGAGTGATTGGCGTGTTTGCCGGGCTTGTCGTGTTGGGCCAAGAATGCCTGGCATTGCCTTGCTCAGGCTCCCAAAGAGTAGGGAGTTGAACTATCCAGGGGCCCTTGCGCATGGTTCTGCATTTACACAGCGCTTGCCCAAAAACGTGCAGTCAGTACTTGTGCTGAAAACACACTCTCTCTTTTGCACGAAGGGTTGCAATTCAACGAGCGCAATCCTGATTGAGGCTCTAAAGAATAAGCATTGGGGTAATTACACACAAAAGTTCGGGTGATTGCACCGACCAACCCGTTGAAAGAGTGTTTGCCCTGCAACGCTTATGGCATATGGCTTTGCCAGTGCCGCCCTAGAAGAGAGTATGTGGCTTAAACAAGAGTACACAAGAGAAGGAGGGTTAAGCCTGAAATGAAGCCAGGAGCCAAGCCCACAGTCAGCCTGACCGATCTCCCGAATTCCGATTGGTATCCGTCTCTTGAAAATGGCCGTTCCTGGCCGGTGGCTTCCTCCCGGCAGCAGCCGGACAGCCAAAATGTCCACCAAATGCTGCAGGGTTATCGACAGAACTGTTATCCTGCGGTTAAGACGAAGGAGGCGGCGAATGGTGGCGAGCATGCCGAAAGGCCTCCTCTTCTGCAGCACTCTTCGCCAAGGTTGTCAGCAAACTGCGGATCCTCCTTTGCAGTCTTCTTGGAGCCTTGAGCTTGATAGACCGTCTCTTCTTCGGAGATGAGCCTCGTGACCCAGAAAGCCGAGTTCCAGCTGCGTCATGGTTGGTTTCAAATTTTCATCCGTCAGGGAAACCTCCCGGTCGGCGCAGAGTAGCGCCGTCCCAATCCTGGACCAATGCCTCGTGGCCAGGCGTGCCACCTGCACCGACTAGCTCGGTAGGCAGTGGTAGGCACGGTGCCGAGCCATTTTACAGGCCATGCGGCAGGCAACCTGGCCACACCGGCCCAGGCCGAAAGCACAGGTCAATGGCATTGAGCTCGATCTGCGACCGCTCATTGCCATGAACATCCACAGCCATTCCAGCGATGCCCCCAAAGGCACCCAAAGAAGGGGCAGCTGCGTGCCAGAAACGGGCCTCCTCCAAGGAGCATTCCTCAGGTCGATCTGCCCCAACTGTAGCGCCACGTGGAGCGGGGATCCCCCGACCTCCGCCTTCTCTCTGGTAGAAGCTGGACCAGTGGAGGATAGGCGCACGTTGCATGTCCTGAAATGCACTGGAGGCTATCCTGGAAGTGCCTCCCTGCGGCGGGAACATCATTTGAGGCGGCAGCGCCAAAGTCGACGTAACATGTAAATGACTAGAAGGCAGGCGCCCCCATTGTCACTAATGACCCCTGGCTAGAAGCAGGCCAAAGAAGCGACCGAGGCATACAGTCATGCAGGCCATGCAGAAGAACCGTCCCCCTGTGGCAAGCAGGTGGCGAGAGGCCCCTAGCTGTATTAGCGAACGTAGCATTCGGGCTACTTCCGCTGGTGTGGATGAATTCCCTTGATTTCCACCAGGTCTTGTTGGGGGGGTCGCCTTCAGCAAGCGAGCTTCCACTCGGAGTAGATTCCTGCTACGGCGAGGTTGTGTTGCTCCCGCTATGAGGAGCAAGGTATCCCAGTGCATCCCCTGACTGGGGAGCCACAGCAGCAACATGCGGCGCATGATTCTTTTGTGCCAGAGGCGCTTCCAAACAGGCACTCAGAAACACACTTGGGCGGTGGCTTGATTCAGCATGGCCAAGTTCTCATGTAGAACTCAATGATATCCCTGAGATTCCACTAGCCATGCTTTGAGCCAACTCGAAGGTATGCTCGTCACTTTTGGACCCTCAGATCGAGCCTCAAGCGAATCCTTTAAACTAATTTCAATAGTGCCCTGGAGTGAAACCGCTCAAGCCCCTTCAACCCTAAAGCCTCCCAACCTCCAAAGCCTGTAAACCCGAACACGAGCCCTTCAAAGTGACTGAGCCCTGACGCCCTTAGACCTACCGAGGCCCAAATTCATTTTGCGAAGACCTACCAGGCAGAAAACGAGCACTTTTAGAAGTGAAGTGTGCTATCTCGCTGTACTCTTGCTGTACTCGTATGCTGTGCAAGAGTATGCTGTTGAGATATGTTCAGCATCCTGCCAGCATGCTGTTTGTCACATCGGTCACCAGGTACTTTGCGAGGCCATTGAGAAGCATCCCGCTGCTTTCAGACAGAAGCTGTCCTTTCTGGACAGAGTCATTCGTCGCTTCCATACAGGTGATGGGTTTCAGAGATTTTGCATGAACTGGCAGAAGCGAGGATCTTGGCTGTGCTCCTGGTGGATTTTCGCAGCGGATGCTGGAGGAGTTTGGCTGTGCGTCTTTTGGGCAGGTGATCTTTGTGTTAGTTAGATTCTGTTAGATCCAGTACTTATCTATGCTTGTTTTGTAGATGGAGTGCGCTCAGCAGGCTGTTTGAGAGGCTGTTGCATTATTGCTCGCAATGACTGACGATTGGCACGTTGGCCGGAGCAGACAGCCTCATGCTGTGAACCTGCGCAAAGCAGACCACCATATCATACCATGATTGACCAACAGCTAGCACTGGACTAAAGCAGACAATCAGCTGAAAGCTTTTTGTGGCCATGGCAGCTTGGAAGGTATCAGCTTTTGTTTGGCCGCATCCTTACATTTATGCTTGGTTTCTTTTGTTGTTCACACCATGCGAGGCCTGCCGGTGTCTTCAAGTTTGCAACAGAGCACTCCTCGGACTGATGTCAGAGTTTGCGCGCAAGTGCTGTTTAAGATCAATCGTCTTAGAGCTCAAAGCACATCGGCACAGTCTGCTAAGGGCGAAGTGGGACAGAAAGGGCACGGGCTGCAGGCACAGCTCGCACACATTACTGTAGGGAACGTTAGCTATACATGCTGCAGCTTTCAAAGTTGGAGCAAAATCCTTCTTTGCGTTCGAGGGCGGAGTGAGGGCATGCCCTGACAGCTAAAGGCTCTCTGCGCAATGTGTAGTCGGGACACTTGAGCTCGTGGTAGCTCGCCATGAAGCCACGGACTCTGGCCTTTTTGGCTGGAGGCTTGTCTGGACTTTTTTTTGGCAGGTGCCCCGAATGCTGGACTGCGAGGGCGAAGGATGGCCTCAGGACCAGCCACTCTGCTTGATGCACCAATCGGCAGAAATGTGCGTGATGAGGAATGGCGCCTTTTTCGGCTGGCCGCGACAGAGGCTTTTGACGAAGAGCAGAATGCGTAGCCATGTTGCGTATCAGTTGGTTTGCGTGTTCGAATGTCGTACGACACAAGCTGTAGACATGCCGGTCCAAAATTGAGGCTGACGATCTGATGAAGACACAATCTTGCAGCCACATCTGCATTGCATGTGACAATACGTTCAGTATCTTGTTGACTGAGCATGTACCATTTTACGAAATCGGAGCAGTGCATTGGATGAAAGCGCAAAAGCTGCCTTTTCCATCACGTCTTGTACTGTCACGAGCCGCTTGCTTGCAGGCTGTGGCCAATGGTTTCGAGAAGTCAGTATCCTTGGAGACAATGGCTGCCAAGATACAGGCAAGCAGGGATGTCCATAAGCTTGCTGTAGCAGCGTGCTCTTGATGCGGGCGTCGCCGTCTTGTCAGGAGCAGTGGCAGCATTGGGTGTGCCCACGAGTTCAATTAGGCCGCCGGCATATGTGACAGGGCACTAGAAGGCCTGTGCCGCCGCTTTGCTGAGGAGATGAATGCCGCAGCAGCTCAGATCTTGGCTTCACCTTCGTGGGTGAATTGCACAGAGACTGCTGCGACCTTACCCGCATCAGGGCAGAGGCATCCTCATGCGGATAGTTCGGTCTTTTGTAAGCATTGGGTATCTTCATGCTCGACGTGTTCCACTCAGGCCGTGATTCCAACAACTTCGAGTCGTTACCACAGTTGCTCTTTTTACATGAGCTCTGTGTTGGTCCGAATGCAACTGCTAGGTTGTTCAACTGTTGTGCCATTGAGGCGCTACCTCATCAGGCATTACTTTGAGAACACCAAGACAACATACCAAATGCTTGAGGTCCCTCGCATGCTGGACACAGCCTAAATGACCGAGAGAAGGGAGCGAATGCGAACATGCACGGGCCACACGTGAGTATGCAGGAGGGGCTCAATAAAGTCCGGATCTGGAGTAGAGGAACGTCGCCAGCCCTTGTCAGCCTTGCACAAGAGAAGGAAAGCAAACATACTGCGGCAGAAGATGCTGGACCCTCCATCGCCGCTTAGGAATAGGAAGGACAAGCAGCTGCAGAAGAGAAAAGCTTTCAACAAGAACCCACATCGACAAATAGCCGCAAAACATTAAACACATGCATATGCCACATGAACAGGATAACACCAAGCGCAGAACGTAAAACATGTAAACTACATGACCAGCATGAAAGACAACGACATGAAGATGATTAAGAACAACATCAACAGAAGCAAGAAGCTGAAATGAATGACAAACACGACAAGTAAGCCTAAGGAAAGGTCGAAAGATAAACAGAAACGAAGCCAGGAAGAACGCACGACAACATATGCAAAAAACTAGGTCGAGAAGGCAGGGACGGAATGGACGAACGCAACACATGAGCACAGAAATCAGCAGAGGGGTCTCCAGCGTGAGAAGGAAGTCAAACACAAATTGGAAGGGGTGCAAAAGAGCAAAAACATGAGTTCCTCATTTATGAAAGAATGCACTAGGCCGAAAAGGGGAGACAGCTTAGGCGCTCAAGCTATGAAGCAAGTCACCGCTAGCGTCCAGAATTTCTGTTGTTACTTACTTATTGTCTGAAACCCTGCCGAAGAAAGTGACAGTTTAAACAGTGCCTAGCCCCAAAGGCAACACAAACAACTCTCTCACACGTGCGGGCTCAGAAGCTTCACGTACAGCTTTGAGCTGAGAGAATGCTGAGAACTCCGAGCAAGACGAGGGGCTGCTCAGTTCTGGCATGGGCGGACTAGAGATGAATGATGAGCTTTTCTCCGTTGTCCGTTCCGATCTTTCTGATGATGTAATAGCTTTGCCCGCGGCTTGAGACAAGTTGCTGCGCTGATGCCCGCAACTGCATTTCTGTTGCAGGAACCTTCTGGCTTCTGCCTGTACGGTTACCTTACAGCGTTGATGGTGCTTGCCTGGCACAATCTTCCCGAGCATGTTCACCCCCCAGTTCCACCGCTCCCGGTATGGACCCTGGCTGCCAGTACTCTCAGGCAGCGGATGCACTGCGCCACATCTACGTTGCGCGGCATCTGCTAGGCCGCCTGCCGCTGCAGTGATGTGGCGAGAGATGCGAGAGCTGCTTTGCAAACGGAGGCCACTACCACTCCTTCGATTTTGTGGAATCTTCATCTTGGCCGGTCTCCTCATTTCTTGTGTTGGATGCTCAGCTGCAGATGTGGGTCTGCATTCTCAAGAGCAAGCCATAGATTGCCAAGCTGACAGATGCAACGGATAGGCTGAGAGCTGAGAGTGTCGCACTGGGCAAAGGTGAACTTCCATGCCGGCGGCACTTGGATCCCACTGAATTCTGCCCCAGACTATGCACATCCTGGACAATTCGGACCAGCCTTCTACTATGCTCCGTGCCGTTGAATACACGATCGAGTTGATGGCGATTGCGGGATTTGCAGCTGAGCCAATCCGAGGAGCGCCTTGCTTGGCGTGGCACTGCAGAAGCAGCGAAGCCAGCACCTGGCACAGCCCCGTTCTTTCGACTCCCGGGAGAGAGCCACTTCCTCAGGTCTGCCTTCGTATGTTTTATGACACGCAGTCAGTTTCCAAAAGTTTCCAAGGTCCTCCCACAGAGTGGCGTGGTCTTGGAAGCAGGTTGAGCCAACGCCGCCATCTAGTTGTCTGGCAATTCTGCATCCACACCTCGACGGCCGGTGAGGCGGTAACTATGATCACCCGCAGCTTGTCAGGTCAAAGTAGATAGGACCATACATGCTGCTTTTGTGGTGGTGGCTGGACTCTACACGGGCCGACGTCCATCAACGCCTGCTGTTGCAAGAGTAGCACCTCTGCTGTCAAAGTGCCTTCGAGGATTCCTCAATGATGACTACAACATTGAGTTTCGTGGAAACTCGCTTGCCACGCAGCTCTGTGCCAACTATCGACCCTCCCTGTGCGCATCTGGCCGAAATCTTCACTTCTTGGATTGGCTGCGCGGGGCTAAGGTAAGTTTTTGTTTCCTCAAGCGACTGCTGTGCAGCTGGACTCAGGTCCGCGCGATTTGAGGCCCTGAGCGCAGCTTTCCAATGTTTCGCAGAAATCTTCAGATCAGCATCCGTTGCGCAGGCAGAGGATACGAGTCTTGCCGAGCTCTCCGCGAGCTTTCAGCAGGAAATGATGCCACAGCTTTTGGAGGCAGAGCCAAGGTTGCAGCTATGCCGCCATGCTTGTTGTAAATGATATGTATGACATGTAGGTGCTCAGGACAAAAGCGCATTCGCTTTCATCCGAGGATGTTTGGATGTGCTCCATCCCTGCAGTTTGGTGTTGGTTGCTGTGGGATGCAGCCATCACTGCCAAAGCTCAACATCGACAGCAACGGCCAATATTTGCATACCTAGGCACGCATGGCACACCAATGTAATCTTGACAAGCAGCTGTGGGTTGCCTTGCTTGTTTTATTACGCGTGTATAGGTCTGCCGATCCTGCAGTACGTGCCTCGAGACGATCGAACGCGCTTCTTAGAGGGTTTCGTTGAGCTCGGCATGGACGAGCGAAATATCGTGGCTGCTAACAATGCATACCTCGCTGAGGAGGCACGATCATGTTTATTCTGCCAAATGGCTAGAAATTTAGCCCAGGGCTGTGCAAGTGCATTCTATGGTGCCTGCAGGTTGCGTGGCAGACGGGGCTCAGAATCCCAACTCTCCGAATCCATGGTCTACATACCAATGCCACGTATTTTCCGCTTCGGAATTCTGAGGCTTGGGTGCCATTGCTGCTTCGTTTACTGCTGCTGCAGCATGATTGTACAGTTCTCCGCAAGTTTATCTTGGCCAGAAGCCGTTTGGAATCAAAGTGCTCTGAATCCGTTGCTAGAAGCCTGCTCCCTACTGAGTTGGACACCCAAGTTCCAGTTCTGTCGGTTTTGCATGGAGCGGCTAAGCTGACACAACGGGAGCCTGACTCTTAGCTCAGAGACAATTGATAGAAATCATCTTAGTCTCAAGTTTGCCTCGGAGGAAATGTTTAATGTGAGAAATTGTGAGAACAAACAATCTTATGGACCCCCTCAAGACCCTCTCCACCTCTCCACCAGATTGAGAAGAACAAGCAGATCAACATGCAGCAGCAACAACAACAGCAGCAGCAGCAGCTGATCGAGAACAGATGTTGGCCTGGATCTGTTGCTTCTGCTGCAAGATGATCTGGTCGTGCGAAGGCGCAGATGGCGACGGAGGCTGAGTGGCTAAAGCTCTACAGCCAATTACTTCAGCACATGGTGCCAGTTGATCTTGACTACAGCCACAAGCGCTAGGAATAGAAGTGACTGCAGCCTCGCATTCGTGCAATGACATGTACAGTTGCTCGGGGCCGCTAAAGCAGCCACGACATTCATAACGACTGCAGCCTCCATGTGTGAAAAGCGATCATGGGCTTGTTGTCATCTTGGCACATGAGACCGTGGACGATTCAAGGCATGCAGGGCGTGTATATCTTTACTGCTGCTAACCTCTGTGTTTTGATTTATTGTCAGACATTTGGCAGGTCTTGGTCTCACGGCCCGGAACCAGCGGTGGTTGGCAAGAGTGTGTTCTAGATCGCTTTGTGGACGCAAACCCCCAGTATGCCTTGCGCTTTGTGCAATTCACAAACTTGCTGAAACCGGCCCGCAATTGAGCTTGCGTGCTCTCCAGTTGTCATACAACAGCCCTAGCTTTACGATGCCAGAAGCAAGGAACCCGGACACGACAGAGGAGGCAGTCAAAGGATGTAGCAGACTCGTGAAGTTACGGATGTGTTACTGGCATCCAGGTCTACAACAATACCCTCTCCTATAGATCTCTGTCGCAGTTCCGCGCTGTGGCCAACTCCTTAAGGAGGGATGCAGCATGATGTAGTAGTGGGCGTATCTTTCTGTTGACAAGGTGGGCTTCCCTTACGACACGTCATTGATGTTCTTCTGGGAGTTCTTCTCGATGAACATGCCGACTTTCGTCTTCTTCTCAGTCTTAGCACCGGACTGGATTGCTGCACGCCATGCTGTCTGTGCAAGTGGCGAGGTACCCTTCCAGCTCTGGCATTGGGGTGTCTTTGGTTGGAAGCTTTGCATCTGCCATGTGAGGCATGGCTTCGCCATGATAGGCAGACTAGCGTCCAGGCCAGCACACACGGCCAGATTTGGAACAACCGCGCATCTTCCCAGACGAAGGCCAGCTTCAGGTTTAAGGGATCCAGTACGCTGCAGACTTTGAATCAGTTGCAGAGGCCTAGTGCGGTCATCGCTGGTCCCGGAGGAGGAATGAACCTAGCCTGTGGCCGCAAGAAGCTCACTTCACCATCCGAATGCAGGACCGGCTTCCGTACTCTCCCTTTTTTGATGGCTTTGGACCCCTAGATGTTGAGCATTGACCTTGGCTTCTTCCAAGTGTCGTCCAGACGAGGGCTCCCATGTCAGGCGCATCTACCTTGAGCCTAGGCGATCCGTCTTCTGGTCCAAATTTACGGACTGGGCGATGTTCCCGCATGTGCAGTACTTCCAGCTCCCTGCATGAAGAAAGCTCTGCACAGCAATCTGGTGCGGTCACGAAGAGTTCCTACCGTAAATGCAGCGGAGGTCAGTGCCTGATCTCATGGTCCAGCTTACGACAACTGATCTACAGGCGTCTGTATGTCATTTACTGCACAGAAGCTTGACACGGCGACACAGCCATCAAGCCAGTACCATTCTGTTGAAGTGGACAGATGCATCTTTGAAAGCTGCCAGAGCGCTGCTGTTTCAGGCAGTGTCTTCTTCCATGAAAAACTTCAATGAGGCGACCAAGATAGCAGCATATAGCAGTGTAGCAAAGCGAAGCCAGAGACTTGACAATTCCAGCTCAGGAGTGCCTCATGAAGAGCATCCGTGCCTGGCAATACGCCGGAAACCGAAATGCTTCATGCAGGGAGTTTTTGTAGGCCGTAATGCGCGGTCAGGTCTTGCACTTTGTGCAGTGCAAATCAGTGTAAATTCTGGACTGCTTTTGGGGCTGTTTAAACGAAGGTCGTGGAACGTTGGTTGAGTCTGGAAGCTTTCACTGCCTGAGATGCACCTCCAGGCCTGGAACGCTACATATGGCTACATGCTCACAGACGCAGTCTGCTTGCCAGGCAAGCCAGCATCGAGTCTTCAGACGTGGCCTGGCAGGAAGGTCGCATGCCGTCTGGCTCTTCTGGTGCGACGAGGGCACAGCAGTGTGTCCCAGCCAGATGACAGACAAGCAGAAGCTGACGGCCTGGGCTTGAAAATGCTCGTGCGGAGACTTCTACTACAACATCCGAGACTGTTCCAACGACATACTGAAGTGACAAGAGTGACACGCGGCATCACGTGGCATAGAGCATCGCCATGGCGGTCATGGTGGCCATGGCGGAGAGCAACCTGAGAGCTGATCGGAGTCTTTGGGCCAAACCCGCCAAAGAGTGATGCTAACAGTCTTAAATCGACAATTGAGCGCGAAAAAACCTAAGCAGAGCTGCACCTCAATCTAGGCAAGGTGAAGCGGGGATGCCTGAGTTTCGCAGGAGTTGGGGACTGGCGGTGTTGGCTATGGCGTCACCTTGCCGTTTGAGGTGGGAACTGGCCAGGCTTGGACTGCATCTCAAAAGCCAGCCTCGAGGCTGGTGGCTTCCCTCTATTGCTGCATGATCCGCGGTTTCACGTGCAGGACTGCAAGGAGGCAAAGACGTCTTCTGGCAATGTCTTTATCTTACCCAATGGGCCAGGCCTGCAACCTGATGGAGCTGCTTTCTCCAGAAGATCTGGAGTGCGTGAAGCTGAGCTTCAGACCAACATGCTTCAGCAAGTCTCTACCCAGCATGACGTGCTGTACTCAGATTCTTTGCTGAGGCTTGGACATGGTTGATGTCATCATGGCCGATGCACAGGTCACGAGTGCAGCTGAATGCAACCTCATGTATGCTGGCATACTATCTCGTGGCATTGTGGTGGCGGATTTGTTCTTTTATTGGAGTGCCTGCCCCGCTTTGAGCAAGAGCTCATGTTTACCCATTTTGTACAGCATGGTCTAGCAGGACCTGGGCAGACGAAGTCCAGCAAACCAACGTGTGGCCCCTGAAGTAGCGTGAACTAGCAGTTGCCAACATAGCTGCGAAGTTTCTCAAAAGACTTTCTCTTTCTTTCTTTCTCTTTTTGTCAATCTGAGGTGAAGCCAAGCGCCGAGCAAAGAACTCGAAAAATGCCAAGCAAGGCAGCGTGGTGTTTCCGGTGACATGTGCACCATCTACTGTGCAGTAGACCTTTCTAGAGCTGTGCAGACGTTGAGAACAACCTGCAAATTGTAGCATGCAAGCTGACACGGTGACGAAATAGTATGAGCGGCTCGATTGGTGGCAGTGCCTGAGCTATTGCAGCGGTAGGCAAGCTCCTGAATGAAGGTTTGTTGAACATGGATCCAACATCTTAGTAGCTCTAAAAAGTGAGGATGCACAAAGCTTCCGCGCGGCAGCATCATCCCGCACGGCTGCATAGCAACACATGCTTACTTTCACTAGGTTGTGACTGGGTAGCAGCGCAAGTAGAAGCACCAAGCGGTCTCCGGTATTAGGCGTTAGGGTTTAGATGCGTCCAGGGCGTTGGGAAACGCAGTTTAAGTTGCAACCATGACAGAAGCCATGGTGTCAAGGCAGCAGCGACTGCATTTTCAGCAGTGTAGACCCACAAAAGGCAGAAAGCGCAACGCAAACCCGAAGACGGTCCGAGAAGGTCTGGAAGCTAAAAGGGCACAGCTTTTCCTTGCTAGCGGTTTAGACCTGGCTAACACTGTAACTGCTAGCAAACCGCTCACTTGGCAGGGTTGTGCACATGATCGCATTCCCATGCTTTCCCTCCAATTTCAGCATTCGCAAAACTGATGTGTGGTGTAGTGTCGTCGGCTACTGTTGTCCTGGCACAATGTATGCCAGAGTGTGAGGTGATGAATCCGAGCTCGCTGGGGCTGCCGGGGTTGGTGCTGCGCATCGCTGGCATGTTTGAATTCAGGGCTTCAGAAATCTCAGTCAGATCTGGTTTTTGCGAGCTTGAAGGTGTGCCACTCTGGGCATTTGGGCACTAACGTTCCAGGAAGCGCCGATGATTGCTCCCACTTTGTGTGCATGCAGCTCTCTATAGAAGATGCACTTAAAGCTTCAGCTGGTGCGGATTGCAAGCTTTCCTGTGGCATGCAGGAGATTCGTCTTGGACTCGGCATGCTCAAGAAAGGAGGCCAGGAACGGCTTGTTGCTCAGCATCCGTGGCTTGCAAACTGCAGGCACGTTCTTTTTCCGCTTTGGCTGGCGTGGACGCGGTGATCAGGAAGAGTACTGGTACCGTGAGGCTGCCTTCGGCTGCATGAGCACGCCTCAAAGTTCTCATGTTGTGAAAACGTGAGCTAGCCGCTAACTCTAAAAATCCATGCTTCATTCGGAGGCAATCATGCGTCTTCTTGGACTTGTGATTGCATTCTTTGATGAGGCCCTTCTTTCGAAACTGCGTTGCTGCACTGTATTAGAGAGCCTCCGCAGTCAGTGTCCATGACTAGCGCACTCTGTGAGGGTTCCCAAATTCCAGCCAGCAGGTTTTTCCGTTTAAATCGGAGATCTACCACCAGGCCGCTGCAGTCCGGTGTGCATTGTTTGATTGGTACCTTCCATGCATTCCATAAAGACAGTCTCACCCGTCTGGATACTGGTCAGGCCGATCCATGCTTCTATGTCGTTGCAGCTGGCTTTCAAAGATCAGGCCGGGCGCCGAAGTTAAACATGTGCGGTTGCGCAAAGCAAGCCGAGATGCCTGAGGTTACGAGTCTGCAGCCCTCGATACCAGGTCCGTGCACACACGTTTTCTACAAGGGTCTGTTTTCTACACGGGTCTGAATACGTCCTGGGTTCCCCGCATCCCAGGGTTCTTGTTCTGAAGGTTCGGACTCCGGTTTTACATATATATATATATATATACGCACAAAAAATGCCCTTCTTTCGTGGGCACGGTCGTGCGCCAGCGTTTACCTGTGTCGCATCACCGCTACACGGCGGTTGTTGTTTACACGGTTTGGCCCGTCAAGCTGAGCAGTGACCAAAACCCCCTGTGTGGAAATTCATATAAACGTTACGGTAAGTAGAGATTGGCCGCGTCAGGTTTGATGTGTGCGATAGCTCGTGAAAGTGAAACATGAACGCCAAAGTATTCGCGACATCAAAGAAATGAGCTCATGGTCCAGCCAGCCGTGCGCGAAAAAGTGGCTCCCACTGCGGCCATATCAATGGAATGAGGCATTGAGGCTAGAAATCAAAATGCCTTGTTCGGCTCATTACAATATCACAGAGATGCCCCTGTAAGTTTTTTCTGGGACCTCGTCAGCATCGCGACACGTTTGGCGACAGAACCACAAATGCGAACAAAATGGTCAGAGGGTTTAGGCCATGGCTCGACTGGAGCTAGACGCTCTGGTCTGGAGAGGTCTCACTGCATTTGAGATTCTGGTCGGGCAGTGCCTCATGCGTGCATGTTGATTTGAATACGCGAGTCCCGTGTTTCGGGATGCTATTGGCCTCGCTTTCTATCATGTTTCTTCCATAGACGGATGTTGTTCTGCAAATCGGCTTAACAGCTGGAAGCCCTCATATGGTCTGCCGTAAGCTGCGCCATTCACAGTTCTGTATCAGGCTGAAGACTTCAATCCAGAGAATAATTGCCTGCGAAGCAGTTGGCGATTTGCCAGAGTGCCTTTCTCAGTCCGTTCCTTGTGCCGGCCAACATGCTTTGGAGGATGTCCTCACATCTTAACAGGTGCATCGAAACTCTGGCAGAGTTCTCCACACCAGCGAGTCAACAGCGCATTGACGAGGTGTGGAAGCAAGGAACCTGTATCCCATGTCAGTTTCAAGTTGTGGCGGAGCCTTGTCAGTTCCTACTGCACTTTTACGCTTGGCTGTTTTTCTGAACTCGTTGATGGTGCCCTGGTCCCGACCCCGGGACCACATCAAACATCAAAAGACAAGCAAGAACATATGAGATTGTGCAAGCCCGGAATAGAGAGAGTGGGGGGATCGAAGCCCAGCAGTCACTCCAAATCCGGGAGAGAGTGTCATAGTTGCGAAGTAGCCCGAGTGCCATATGCAAGTTTTGGAAAACCATCGCATGGGAAACAGGTCGTATCACCAGATCCTGTGCAGCGTGCATTTTGATCATAGTTCTAGTGGCCCAAGTGCCTACCGTACTTGGAATTGAAGACACGGCCTTGTCTGGGCAACGACTGAGATGTGATCTGACTATCTGCAGGGTTGTTGCGGGGTATGTGAACATTCCATACCGTGCCATGCAAGCAGTTGGTGTCAATCGCCCGCACCCGGCCTCTGCTTTGTGGAACTTGCCAGCATGTGCTGCAAGGGTCCAGGCCTCGCCGTCCTTGGCATGTAATCATCATGAGCTTGCCTGCCCCTGCAGCTCCTGGACACCGTCAGCCGCGTCCGTGCTATAGGCCTCTCCAGCCGAAGCACAGTGGAGGCTAGTTCTGCTGGTGGAATCATCCACAACACAAAAACAAGACCTGTTGCCCCTGCTCATTCAAGCAGGTCAAGATCGCAGTGCATGCAGTGCATGCAGTGCATATCTAGACTTTTAGAGCAACATTCTCCAAGAGTCTGCTTTGAAATAAACAGGTTGTGTGCTCTTTGACCCTGCAAGCCCAAACGTTCAGAAGCTGGCGTGCTCACGAAGCCATTTCAAAGCTGCTGCGTGTCAAGAAATTCGTGAATGCTGCAGGCTGGCGGTAGGGAGAGCCCGGAGGCACAGCTCATCATACGACCAGTACCGTGCTTGGACCAGGATGTTTCGGTTCGTTTCTGTTCGCTTACAAGCCTTTTGCGCAGGGGTTGCATTAGCAGCAGTTTGGTTCCGCACTAGAACGGTTCCAAGGACCTATTGAGGCTTGGAGCGCTCCGGCGAACTAGATTTGATTTCGCGGGCAGGGTGGTTGAAATGGGGTGCATACTGTAGGAGTGAAAAAGGTAGGTGAAGGGTTCAAAGATCGAGAGATATTTCGGGCCTGGCAGCTTCGACAGGCCTGGCCATCCCCCCTTCTTTCACCCCGAGCGTTATACATTTCAGACGCAGAGGGGGGATTTTCGGGCGCGAATTTCAGGTCAAAATTTCAGACCAGAGGCTGGGGAATTTCAGACGCACGTGAGGGGAGTTTCTGACGCACACAATGGGGCATTTCAGACGCATTATGGAATCATGGTTTAAGATTTCGAATTTAGGGTTTGGGCTTAGGGTTTAGATCATCGTTTGAAGCCTTTAGGGATTGAGACTCTATGGATTAGGGTTTAGGCAGATGGGGTTTGGTTTAAGGTTTGGGGATTAATTAGGGCTCTTGGGGATCCAGGCTTTGAGGGAGTAGGGCCTAGGGCTTGGGGTTTAGCCTTTAGGGGATTGGGTTTAGGGTTTGAAGGGTTTAAGTTTTAGGGACTAGGGCTTACATTCCCCTTGTCAGGCCTTAGGCCTTTTCGGGCTCGGGGCTTCTTGGGATTAGGGTTTGGGCTTAGGGAGATTGGGTTTGGTTTAGGGTTCATGGTTTAGGGCTTTTAGGGATTCAGGCTTGTAGGGACTAGGGTTTAGGGTTTAGGGTTTTCCTTTTGGGGTTTGGGCCTCACTGATTTGGGGTGTAGGGTTTAGGGATTAGGGTTTGTAGGCGGGAGCGCCGTCGAGAGATCGGATTCTGAGGACGCTCCACGCAGGAGGGCTCTTGGGAGATCGGATTCTGAGGACGCTCCACGCAGGAGCGCTGTGGGAAATCGGATTCTCGGGACGCTCCGCGCTGTCGAGAGATCCGATTCTGACGACGCTCCACGCAAATCGGATTCTGAGAACGCTCCACGTGGCGGCGCCGTGCGGCGGACCCGAAACGCACCGGAGCACGTCCCGAAACGCACCTGGGCACGCGCTGAAACGCACCCCGCTCGGACACAAGCGGCGGACCCGAAACGCACCCTCCCCCGACCGAAGTGGCGGGCCCGAAACGCCCCGGCACCCTTTCACCCCAATGCATTTGCAATTGTGCTGATGACGCTCCAGGTCATGAGATGCCTCTGTAACATGCTGTTCTTGCCATTGTTGATTGTTTTGTAGGGTTGTTAGGGTCTTCTTGTCCGTAATTGAACACAACATGGGGTCCCAATTGTGCTGATGATGCCCATGCCCCCGAGCGCGCGCGCCCCTCACTCGCTTATCATCTGCACGACTGGGTTTGCCCACATATTCCATTTGCTGTGCAATTCTGAGGCAGCATTTGGACATGTTAAATGGTGTAAAATGGTAGCAGAGGAGCCCGTGCAACAGGCCTGTAAGAACCATGCAGACGGCACAGTTCACCGAGGTCCCTTCACATGCTCGTCATGCAGTGCAAATGCTGGCAACACTAGGTCTTTTTTTGATCCTTGCTGGTACTTCCAACACGAATACTGCCGAAAGCAGGTATTTTGAGCGTTTCGCTTTGCCTTGGCGTTGAAAGGAAAACAACAATCATAAAGAAGTGCTGCTGCTCTACATGTAGAACATCGGAGTGCCTTAGCTGGTAGATCCGGCCACATAGTGGGACCTCTCTTGGCATGTCATAATTACGGGGACGCTGTCGATGTGCCGTACGGATGTTGAGGTACCCTACCACTTGACCATGCAGCGCTTGCGCGAGCGCATGGAATGCTATGGCAAGGCTGGACTTCTCTTGCAAAAGGGTAACAGTTGAAGCATATGACATACATTCAATGGATGATGCTGGCCTTACTGGCAGTGCCGCAGACGTCTGCTTGAATGGGGCTGCACAGATAGCATAGTCCAAAAGAGTGCGGGGGGCTGCAGGAGGAGGGGCCAGCTGTGGCCAAGAGAGCGGAACCCCTCAAGAAGCCACCAAAGCCCAATGTGGCACTCACAACTTACAACCTCTCATGCTACTCGTTGCTTGCACGTTGCCGGATGGTAGCCTCTTAGCAAAGATATGCAAAGATTATCCATACTTTTATAGCTGCCAAGACCTGAGGAGATATAGTCCTCCAGTCAGAACCTATGGTAGCCTACGCCTACGCAGTGAAATTTACACTCGCTACTTACAAGCCTTTATTTGTTTTACTGAGAGAAGCTGATATGATAAGCAACATCACTCACGTCTCTTGGCATAGCACTGGTGGTCTTATTCCAGAAGGATACAATTGATCTTAGTCTAGCAGCAGGCAGTGGCTTGGGACTGCATGTTTCCTTCTGGCCTTGCAGATCGCTTATATACGGCGGCGATCCCATGCAGTTGGCGTGGGTGCTGATGCATTGATCCAATTTGTCCAGCCGGCACATGCCAAAATGGCCCTGGAGGTGGGCACATCTTGTAAATTGGGATTCATCTCTGACTTTTGGATCACAAGTTGGTCGCCAACTCATGACAGGCTGTCAATGAAATGCAGGTCCTGGGTGCGGTTGTGGCGAGGTCATGCCACTGCAGGTACGCATGATCTATAACCCTCAAGCCTGACAAGCCAGGCTTGGAAAGTCTGTGTGACTTGCGCATCATTGACGAGAGAGGCGGCTTGACTGTAGCAGGCCCTTGCTGTCATGGAAAATGGCAAATTGTTTGTCAGTCGCGTATGTTGTTCGGTCATGGGCAAAGGTCCCTGGACTAGGCTTGAAGGAGCTGCAGAAGCAGCAGCTTCTTAATCGCATGCGTGAGTGGCCAACAAAGAGATGCAGCCCTAAGCACCCGATTTTTGCCAAAAGGGGAAGTAGATATGTGCAGTTTGCAGGCGCCATTCTGGAATCGATCCGGCTCTCAGGATTTGGGCCAACTGTAGCTAGACCTGCGGCTGTTTCGCAGCGACAGCTTGCAGGCCTGTGCATGATGAGTCCTACGTCATTCTCATTCTTCACTAATGTTTTAGGGGGTTCAAAAGCTGGGATGAAGCTATATTGTATGCTCTACTATATTCCGGCTTATTTCCTATACCCCACATTCCTTCATCCCACGTTTTGAGCCCTTGGAGTGTTAGACCTTACACACAGAACAGCATGCTCAAGCTTCTACGTCTCCATGCTTTTTATATGATGAAGGAAGCTTTTGACTTTTATCATATTTGCTAGTGCTAATCTCACTTTACACCTTGCATCATTGATTTAGGTACTGTTCTTTCTTACTCCTCTTGTTACTGAATAGGTTTATTACTATTGCTTTGGACAAGTACAATTGCGCATTGTTGCTCATCGGTAGACGCCGTTTATATGAAACTCTGGCTGTTTCATGTTAGCTTTATGACAAGCACAAGCAATACAATTAGTCTCATATTTCTGCTCCCAGCTATACTGGCCAACACCATCCTCTCATGCTGCAATTGTTGCTCTTTTTTTAATTGCTGTTCTCATTGCCGATCATGGCTGTGGCTATTTATTGTTACTACATAGATGGGTTGTACAATTTGAATCTTCTTCGGTTTGCTAGCTTTGTTACAGTCTCTCTTGTCGTTGTTGTAAGTGCAATGCTGGCTTTCTGAGACTACTGTTTTATCTTTGTTCTGCTTGTTCATGCGACTGTCTTGGATAGCTTATTTGGACATTTATCGTCACAGTTATTGTAACCCTCTGTAACTCTTGCCGCCCTCCCCAGCCATTGCCATGATTGCTGCATTTTCTATGTCATGTTCACGAAAGTCCTCGTATTCTGAATTACTGGGAGGGAGTAGCGGGCAACTGCAACGAACCAGTGGAGATATATTGATAAACAGTGGAACCGGAAGGAGCACAATAGAACATTAGCGAAAAGCAAGGTCATTGCGCAAAAATGTCAAGAAAAGCTTGAGCATCAGGTAAAAACCATGGAAAGCATGACAAATTGAAATTGTGTGGAGACATATCATAAAGAGCTGTCCAAGATGATGAGCATCACGGAAAAGGATGGAAAAACATACATGGTGAAGGCTGGAAATTTCAAAAAAAAAGGAACTAGAAGGATGGACACAAACAATGGCAAAGCCGCCTAAATTACGCGATTCAGTCTCCAGTGATGTTTTGCGGTTTGTTGCAGAGTTATGCTTGAGGGATTCCTGCATGACTGCCACCGTCGTGAGGCTTGGCAGACTAGCGAGGAAATGCCGCCGAAAGCCGGCGAGGTGCATTCCGCTGGCGAGATACGCTTGAGAGTCTGAGGTTCAAGTGGATGTATGTGGATGTGGCAATCCTGAGTCAGATTGTAGCAATTTAGCAGGCCGTCCCGTGTTGACCGTCCACTGTTGTTTGGATTGCTAAGTGACTTGTTTTTTGGTTTTAGGATTATGAAAATTGGTCATGCGGAATCGGTCCGGCATTGGGGGGACTCATGCAGAAAGCGAGTGGCAAGCAGCCTAACAAGCTCCCGCGTCTCCACTGATAAGGCTCCAGTCTCACTTGCCGTCATTTGACGCTGGCCTGAAAGAACTGATGGACCTGCGCCTTTCCGTCAGCCACCTCCAAGGCTGCTAAACCATGTTCAAACAGAGCCCCCTGTAGCGGCTAGCGTCCCTGGATCACCAGTGGACCCTTGGAATGCCTGAGGCCTACCCCTCAACGTGAGTCCCTGCGCCAACTGGGGTCAAGGCTGTCTTTAAGTAGGTATTGAGGATGATTTGGGCTGGGCATGCCCAAATATCCTGCATGCTAATGTGCAGGCTGGAGCAGGACATGTGACGCATACTGAGCGCGTGGTGTGCACACAGGGCTAAGTTGCCCAGCGTTTGCTTACATGGGGCTGGATCTTTCGTGGAATCAAGGCTTAAGGCTGACAGCGCAAACCCCAATGCGGCTGGTAGGCGGCACATCTGCACAAGGATGAATTTTGGGAAGGTGGGCAGCGGTCATTAGCTTGCGCACAGAGACATTAGACGGTGGGTTCTCGCTGCAGCAAAAGGTGTCGCATTGGCCTGAAAGAGCAAACCTTCGCTCTGCTTTCTGCGGGTCGGAGAGCCGGCCTTCCAACCCGTCCAAAGCAAATGGGCAGGGCAGGAAGCACGCGATTGCGCTGATAAATGCCGTAGCCATGCAGGTAAGGGCGGGCGTGAATGTAACTGAGTGGAATCTGTTTGTACTCTTGCTCATCTTGCACACGTTCATGGAGAGCGGATTGAGTGCAGCACCTGCGCTTTAGGCCGGCAAGGGGATGTTGAGGCTGTGTGAAGGGTGTGAGCGTCGTACTGGGCATCATGTTGTATCGGCTCCGTAGAAGCCTTAGCATGAGACTTGACAACTTGCTTCCTTGCATGTCTTGAATAGGGTGTCCTTGGCTGTGTGGATGGGCTTTCCACCCGGCACAGGTCTTGTTGATCGGTGCATCCAATCTCTTGCACGTGCCATCTAGATTTCTCCCAGAACCTGAACTTTTTGGTATACTGCCGCATGGTCCAGGCTAAGCGGCTAGGCTTTTCTCTACTACGATTATCCACGTTCACATTGTAATGGAAACCGCAACTGGAGCCTATCTGAAACGGACAGGCATACCGACAGTCTTACATGAAGGGATGATGATCAACAATGCATCTGAAGAAGCCATATACTCTTGATCAGACATGAGCACGCATAAGTCCCCAGCGTGCCGTCACATCCCCCGTCCCCCCCCTCCGGATCGGATGCTCTTCGTTTCGAGGTGCACGCATTTTACTGACATTCTCCTGTACACCCCTCACGAGCTTGCCTACCATCCCGCCTCCTGGGCAATGCCTACCCAGATCTGCTCACACCTTATTCAAAGGCAAGAAGCTGGGTGCATTTGGTCTGCATATGGACAGCAGCCAAATGTTTGAAGGTGCATGTCATTCGTGTTGCACGTATGTCCAATGCCAGATCAGCCAGTCGGTTGAAGAGAGCAACAAGCTCCGAGAATCGTCAGCCTGCCGGGGTTCATGTTGCTTCCGTGATGATGCTTTGTGCGGAAGTTGCTGCGCTCTGCTGCCAGGCTTGGCATCCAGAAGCTTAGGGAGGGCAAGCCTCAGAGTGGTCAACCAAGCTTGCAGGGTTGCAAGGCTTGCAGTGCGTTTAAAAGGGAACGCCCTTCTACGCTGGCTTGAATGCACAATATTGCGCAACAACAGCAAACGAACCACTTTAGAGATGCACTGGAGCAGGAAGATTGCTAAGGTGCAAAAGGCAGCTCCAGCGATCCTGCGAGAGCCTAAAAGCAGCTGCTTTGCGGGCACAATGTACCAGATTATCGCTCATTTGCAGGTTTTTGCTCCAGCGGACAAAAAAGCTGAAGATGCAAAAGACAAGGACAAAGAGTCAAAGCGCAAGGCCCGTTGGTTGTGAGGAAGCAAATTGCTGGAAGAAGTGTTTCATGTCGTCCCTTGTGCCGCGTACGGGACAGGCTGCTGCCGCTAAGTCTAAGAGGGACCATGAGGACTCAGCTTCGGTGATCTTACTTGCAGCATTGACAAGAGGGTCCACTTTGGACATTGGATGTCTGGTTTGCAACAACGACGAAGGACTTGGTGCAAGGCTCAGGACTGGGGGACATCCTTGAGAAGGAGGCTGGATGACTCGCAGTTAGGAATGTCTGAGTCATGTGAGCTGGAAGGAGGGCAAGGGCAGCGCATCAGACTGGATTGCGAGGCACCAAAGCTTGACAGTTTTATATGCTGCACAAGCCCCGGCGGAGCGCAGGACCAGAGCTGCAGATGGCACCATGAAAGGTGCGACAGCAAAATCAGACGATGGAAAAAAGAGGCCGGCCGCTATTAATGCTCGGCAGCACGACTCCGTGAATGACGATCTTTATGCTGCAAGAGATGCCCCAAGACAAAGGGTATGGTGCGCGCAGGAAGGAGGCTCCTGGTGGAGATGCTTCCGTCGGCGACTAAGTGATACGTAATTTGGCCAGAAAGGGCCAACTGCTGTTCTGTTTGAGAGCGACCTCCAACATCCTATATAGTTTCTCAAACGAACTACACCTGGTTGTGAATTGTCCAACAAGTCCAGAGCAGTAAGAAAATAGTCACGTGTGAGGCTCCAAAGCACGAGGCTTAAGCAACAACAAATGCAATGCTTTGCGATGCTTTAGAAAGCTGAAGAAGACTTGCTTTCGCTCCATCACTGCTGCCTCCATAGTTCTTGCAGAGGTTCCAAAGATGAAAGTGCGACACGACTCTGAAGCCTTCAAAGAGGGCGAGGTCAGTGCGTCCGTGTCTACCTGGGAGAACGTTTTCCAAGCAAACATGTTGATGTCAGACCGTCGTGATGACTCTCAGCGACCAGCGACTTATCGACAAGGATGGCAACCTCGTTGAGACGTCCCCCACTCAACTTACAGAACCGGAGAGAAGAGCGAGCTTGGTAGTGGGGTGGTACTGTATGAGGCAAGATGAGCTGTCCAACGTCAACCTGTGCCTCGCCCGGCTGAAGTGCCGAATATAGAGAAGATAGAGGGGAAACCAAATTTTTTCTGTGAGCCTGCCAGAGACATGAGAGGTAACAGCTCTGCATGCGCATGCAAGCTAGGCACAGCATGCGATGGAATCCTGCACGAAGGTTACACGTACTTGCTCAGCTCGTGCAGTCTCTGAAGTACGATCCCTCGACAACAAAACAGACATCAGCTGCGGTGTGCGCTCACGTTCGCGCAAAGATCATGTAAGCAATGCACACGGTTTGAACCATCAGAGAAGAATCTAGGACAACCCTTGGACAGCATCCTTGGCAGTTTCCACAGACTTGCAGGCTCGATTCTGACAAGGCCAAGAAGCATGAAGCTATAAGGTGGGAAGGGTTGCTGGTTGATACCGGTCTCAGCAGGGTGCCATGTGGCGCTTCTTTGCTGTTTCGTAGGACATCGTCGTAGCTTGCATGCCAGGTCGCAGGTAGAGTATGACCCCACCAAGCAAGGAGCAGATATTCTGGACAAGTGACCTTCATTCTTTCTGAAATTGGTCGAAGCTGGTGATCATCAGATGCCCCATCGTAGTCGTCTGATGAGGTACGATGACCCTTCTGTTGCACCTAGCGGTTTCATGATCGGGGGCGTGCCCACCGGAGTCATTGAAGAAAGGGATCCCGAGAAGAGGCATTTGCAGCTTCCATTTGCTTACCACCAGTCTGTGGATTGATATGACACGACCGTTTTTGTATGACAATCAGATACAATCAGCCAAGCTTAATTCACAGACCTGTGAGGCTGCAGATTCTGACGGCGATGAGCGAGAATCAGACACTGGACTTTGGGGTACGCCGGCCCCGCGCACGTTTGTAATGCTGCTACCATACGGTAGAGCCTTCCTGACGTGAACTGAAGCGCTGCCATCCCAGGCTTGTTGCAACTATGCAGGGTTGAAATGCCAAATGCCACCGCCCGCGCAGAACAAGTTCCAGTCGGACTTCTACACTTCAGATGAGATGGCAAAGTTCAAGAAGCCACTTGGTGATGAGAGTCCTGCCACAGTGCTGGGGATTGGTCTCACCGCTGTGAGGCCTACGAAAAAGCCCGCCAAGAAGAAGAGCCGGGCGAAGGTCTCGCCAAGCCTTGAAATCCGCCATACTGCTCGTACCTTGCAAATGCTGGCATAACGATGAATTGCATTCGCCCATTCATGCATTAACATCGGTGTGGCTCGACAAGAAGCTGGTCAGGGCTTCACCAAAGGTGAAGATCACCGCAGCACGCATAACACAACGTAACAGTATTTTTTTGGATGGCCCCGGGCGAAGTCATGAGGAGATTGTTACTGGCAGGGTGAATACTGTTGTATGCTGTTGTGACATGCGCTATGATTCTTTTGGAATGTAAACGTGGGGTGTCCATTTGGGAAGGCCATCATGAACAGTATGGGTCATTGAATTTGTCGTGGTATTTGCCGCGCTCATCCAGCCTGAAATGTGCAAAGCGGCAAGTCTCAATCTATGTGTTTCGGCAAGGTCAGGTCAGCTTGCAATAGGTGGTACGCTTCTTTCTCAAATATGGGCAGTTTATCAACGCTTTGGTATGCTTTGGCTGGAGTAGGCAGCTTGCGGATTTGAGCACATCATGGACAGCCTGTGTGCAATGACGCATTCGAAGTATCTGGCTTCGACAGCCTCGGCAGCCTACGCAGCCCTGATGCCTGAGGGGCCGGCAGGGATCCAGGTCATTGGAAAAAACTTGGAAAACACAAAGTCTACAGTGTTACAGGTACCTGTCACGAGCAGATGCAAATAGATGCAGGTGATCTCTGGCTTGGACCACACTGAGCTCTGCCTGGTCATGCCCAAGGCAGGCTGGACAACTCAGGAGCTCGCTTTGCAAAACTCCGCTGAAGCCTTTGCTATGCAGCCATGCAGGATTTGATGGATGCGGTCAGCCTCGAGACCTTGGTTCCAGGTTCGCTGCGGGTCAACTTTGTGTCATCAACGCGGAGTACGCGCAGAGTGCGCAAGGTGCCTGCCTTGTCTCAGGTGATCATTTCCGCCTTGTGTGGGCTGGAGCTGCGCTAGGCTCCGGGCGGTTGCCAGCAGCCTTCCAAAAGAAGAGCCGCCCAGCTGTGAATTCGGGACTGGCGGAAGTGTACCTGCAGAGCACTAAGGTGACGTACCGCTCAAGCTGACCATGGTCAGGCAGCGTCTCTGTCGGTGTAAACTTGACTCACGACTGTCTCTATCGTGCAGGATTCAGCCGGCCTGGGCGATGGCTTTGGACCGGGTAGCTTGGAGCGTAAGTGGACACTCGGGCCATCTCGGGCCCTTTTTTCAGACCTCTCAGGTGTTGGCAGGCCTCATTCCCAGTGCCGACTTTGACTCGATATGTGACGGTCGCGTGCTGCATGAACTAGGACCAGGGTTGTCTTGCATTGTGGGAGGAGCCGTCAGGTTGCAGTCAGGTTACTGTGTGAGTGTTGACCCATGTTCAAACTATCAGAATCTGGACAGAACGTGCAACAGAATTAAAGGACCGGAGAACCCCACATGTGTTGTTTAACCTGAATCTAAGTGAGATAATACGAGGATGTCGTTGCCCGCCGAATTAAAGAAGAATAGGAAGACGAGACGATACCTGGGGAGATGATTCTCTGAAAAAATCTTAGCGGACACCCCTTGCGATTTCAGATTTGGGGACTTGATTCGGTGAAAAATCTTAGGGGGACACCCCTTGCAATTTGACATTTGGGGACTTGATTCTCTCAACAAAATCTTAGGGGGACACCCCTTACAATTTGAGATGTGGGAAGATGATTCTGTGAGGAAAATCTTAGGGGGACACCCCTTACAATTTGAGATCTGGGAAGATGATTCTGTGAGGAAAATCTTGGGGGGACACCCCTTGCCATTTGAGATTAAGGGAGATGATTCTCTGAAAAATCTTTGGGGAACACCACTGCGATTTGAGATTTGGGGACTTGACTGTCTGACAAATCTTAGGGGGAGACCCCTTGCAACTTTAGATTTGGGGAGCGAAGAATTTGAAGGGTAAGGGTGGGATTGTCTAACCGTAAAAGTGGAGAATTTGAAGGTTTGGGGTGGCATTGTCTAACCGTAAAAACAGGGAATTTGAAGGGTCAGGGTGGAATAACTATTTGACCGTAAAAGCGGAGAATTGGAAGGGTAAGGGTGGACTTGTCTAACCATAATTGGAGAATTTGAAGGGTAAGGGTGGGATTGTCTAACCGTAAAAGCGGAGAATTTGAAGGTTTAAAGTTTATAGGGTGGCATTGTCGAACCGTAAAAACAGAGAATTTGAAGGGTCCGGGTGGGATTATTTGACCGTAAAAGCGGAGAATTGGAAGGGTAAGGGTGGACTTGTCTAACCATAATTGGAGAATTTGAAGGGTAAGGGTGGGATTGTCTAACCGTAGAAGCGGGGAATTGAAGGGCAAGTGTGGATTTGTGTAACCGTAAAAGCGGAGAATTTGAAGGGTAAGGGTGGAATTATCTAACTGTGAAAGCGGGGAGTTTGAAGGTTAAGGGTGGAATTGTCTAACCATAAAAGAGGAGAATTTGAAGGGTAAGGGTGGAATCCAACCGTAACAGAAGAGAACTGGAAAAGTAAGGGTGGAATTGTGTAACCGTAAGAGCGGAGAGGGCAAGGGTGGGATTGTCTAACCGTAAAAGCGGAGAATTGGAAGGGTAAGGGTGGGATTGTCTAACAGTAAGAGCGGAGAATTGGAACGGTAAGGGTGGAATTGTCCAACCGTAACAGAGGAGAACTGGAAGGGTAAGGGTGGAATTGAGCGGAGATCAAAACCTTCCTTGTTTAGAAAAGACGGGCTTTCAGAAACAAGGTTTGGCGTAAGCAAAGTGTTGTGTTGCGTAAGGTGTCGTAAGCAATTCAGTGGCAACGTTGTTGCGGTAAGCGTCGTAAGCTGTTGTTTTTGTTGGTGTTGTTTGTCTTTGCAGTTGCAGTAGCTGCAGCAAGCCGGCGTAAGCGGCGTAAGCAGAAACAACAACAAAGTCATATCGTAAGCAAAAGCCTGGAAAACGCAAGCTACCGTAAGATCCTTAAGCATTTTCGTTTCCGAAATAAAATAGGATCAGGGCTTTGGGCACTGCTCAATTGTCCAACCATAAAAGTGGGAATTTGAGGGGTAAAGGTGGGTTCATTTCACCACAAAAGTATGTATGGTATGTATTTTTATGTATGTATGTATGCATGTATTGAAAAATCGACCGAATTTTGACGATGCTCCGCACGGGAGCGCAATTTTGGATGAAACATCGATGAGATTGTATTGATGCTCCGCACGGGAGCGCGATTTTTCTTCAAAATTTTCAGGATGCTCTGCACGGGAGCTGCTTCTTGATGAAGAGACGAGGAAATTTTGAGGATGCTCTGCGCGGGAGCGCGATTTTCATCAAGATTTTCAGGACGCTCCGCACGGGAACGCGATTTTGAACCAAAAAAAGAAGAAATTTTGAGGATGCTCCGCACGAGAGCGCGATTTTCTTCAAGATTTTCAGGATGCTCATTTCGAGCGAGCAAACGATGAAATTTTAAGGATGCTCCGCACGGGTGCGCGATTTTTCTCAAAATTTTCAGGATGCTCAGCACGGGAGCGCGATTTTCTGCAAAAGTTTCAGAACGCTAGGCACGGGAGCGCGAGTTTTCTTCAACATTTTCAGGATGCTCCGCACGGGAGCGCGATTCTTGAAAAATTTCAGGATGCTCCGCACGGGAGCGCGTTTTTGAACGACGGAGTCGCGAATCCTATGAAGATCGGCCTTTTGAACCAAGAAAACCATCTCGAACGAAGGACACCGGGACTCGTTTGGTATAGAACTGGTATAGACTTCGTCGACATCATATTTCAGAAATGATCCAAATTTTCCGAATGCTCCGCACGGGAGCGTCATCTTCGTTGAATTTGACCAAGATAAATCGACGAAATTTCGAGGATGCTCCGCACGGGAGCACGGTTTTTGATGATATAGATAAAGACGATACAAACGCAAAAAACGCGACTGTCTCGAGCGGGAACGCAATTTCTGAGCAAGCAAAATCTGGAATTTTGAGGATGTCCCGCGCGGGAGCGCGATTTTCATGAATCGGTGCGCGAGCCGTTCGGCTACAGACCCTCGAGCAAGACTACTTTAAAGGCAGAGTCACCTATTTTTTGGATAGAGAATCAACATAGAGCGACGATTTATTGAGGATGCTCCGAGCGAGAGCGTGATTTTGGAGCGATTTAGGGCGCGTCCAACATGTTTGCACGGCGGCAGAGCACGCAGGCATGGCGGGCGACAGCACGTCAAACAACTAGAACTAGAATCCCGCAGTGAATGTGGGGAATAATGGGTGACGGCCAGTTCCAAATTGACGTATGCCTAAAAGCGACTCCTATGCATATCCCATGCGTAGCAGGTGGTGGAGTTATTAGTTCGAACAGGTTTTTCATTGTGACGTGAGCGACTGTGAGCCTGCTGGTTGTCCAGCGGGCGTGCAGGCTTGCTTCAATACTTGAAAATGTCGAAATGCCTCCCTCCATACCCTTGACTGTATAAAGGGTTGCAGGCGAGCATTGCGCCGCAGTGCGTCAGGTGGCAAGGTTTGTGCGCAGCCAACCTGGCCTGCCGCTCTGGCAGCCTGATCAAGAGTCGGCCGATCTCCACAGTTGCTTCGCTAGACGCAGCTTCAGCACATGTCGCAGGGAGTGCTCTTGAATGCTCTTCCGCTCTTGAGAGAAGGAGGCAGAGGACATGTTGTCCAATAGCAACAGCAATCCAGGCATGACGGCTGAGCAGCCCCCCTGCGCGCTTTCCTGGCAGTTTTTTCATGCGCAACATGTACACTTGATCTTTCATTGTGCAATGGTCAACGGCGGACACAGCGCAGGTTCTTTCAATCCTTGGGCATTGATATCAAAACAGCAAACAACGCGGCGCGGCAACTTGAGCTGCAGGTAAGTTGGCGTTGTGACAAACGGAGGTCGTCGCTGATGCTAGCCCTACTTAAGCCTTTCAGCACCGCCTAAAACACCACAAGCGCTTGTCGTCTGCATTCCTTGTTGCCACTTCTGCTTCTCTTTTTTTACACGCCCGTCCGCTTTGCAGTTGCATAACCCCGAAGATGCAGGAGAGATGCAGTTCTCTTACTGATGTCACCGCCCCCATCTGAGTAGTGCTTTTTTTGGCGAGGCTATAGTCCCCAAAATGTCAATTAACATCGTTGTCCCACTTCAGTTTCTCGATATTGATCATGCCCAATGCCATCATTGCCAAACTATGTTCTGCGTTCAATAAAGTTGCCCCAGCCAGAATTCCTTTTCATCAAGCCCCCATGGTTGCTTGCCCTAAAAGTCATGCCGACGCTTGGCTATGCTGCCATGCTCGCAAAGGCCAACTAAGGCCAACAAAGAACCAAATGGTTGAGCTTAGAGTTTGGCTACGCATGATTCGCAGGCATTGCTTCTTGATTCGACTCACTTGCGCGATGCAGACGCCGTTCTTGTGTACGCTAACTTGTACAGCTGGCTCGCGTGAGGATATCCGTCAGTGCATCCAAAGTCATTGGGACCTGCCTTCCAGAACAAAAACTGGGGGGAAGAGACTTCTTAATTTACCCAAGGCAGATTAGAAGTGGTTCATCTGCGATTTAAACGGGGAAGATTTTCCTTAAAATTGATCACGCTCGTTTTCCCTTCTTAACCATCGTAAGACGAAGTTTCGGCATTTCTTCCGGGAAACCATTAGAAAACTCTTTGTCATCAGGCTTCAGCTCGTTGGAAGGAAGTGCAGCATGCCGACGTTAAAGTGACAGCAAAGTTGTTTCGATCTATGCGCCCGCGACGTTAATTAATTATGGAAGAACAGGTCTCATGAGGTTCGTTTCGAATGTCCATGCGACGCCGCATAGATGGTTTAAACTAAACTCATACTTCTACCCTGCGCATTTCCTACTGTGGTCCATGCCTTGTAACCTTGTATTCTTGTAAAACCTGTCTTGGCAAGGGTCGGCTTGTTTAGGAGTGGTTTAGAGTGGATCATGTATACCCCAGGCCCCAGGCACGAGCCTTGATCTCAGAGACAAACAAGTGCAGCTTGTCCGGTCTTGGCCGCATGCGCACTTGCGCCTGCTGAAGCCAGCAAGGCCAGCAAGGCATAGGTTCTGTGTACGTCTCTTATGGGCGTGTTTAGTTTCTTCTAAACTGGAAGGTTTGCAAAGGCTTGTGGAAGCTGGAAGCCACTAGGCGGTTAACGTTCCCGCCTGCAAAAATGAATCGGTCGGAGAAAAAGAAAACAACCCAACAGACTAAGGACCCTTGAGCCTGGCCCCTAACCTTGATGGTTCCCGACAGTGCTGCAGGCGGCGCAAACGCTAAGTCTTGCCTTAAGTCAGTCT